AAAGAGCCCAAGACTCAAAAATTCAAAATCATTCAAAGCAAGCATTATGAGTGTGTGTGTGCGTGTGCGTGTGTGTGAGGTGATTATGAATTATAAATTATGATGAATATTAATACAAATCAAATAGACAATAACAACAATTCAGTTCGAATCGAGAGCTGCCTTGACACTGCCTAATCAAATTTATTTCGGCTGTCTCCGCTGCTGCCAGTTGTACTTAATATTGTTATTATTATTGATGATTGCCACGCCTATACGCCCGGCTTTTTGTGTGTGTGTGTGCCGTATCTGGGCATAGATCAGTGACGTTAGGGCCCCGACTCTCTGGCTTCTTGTTAGATTAGCAAGCGTCTATCGATCAGTTGTTTGCACAGTTGCTCTCGAACTGGGGCTAATTTGGTTTATTTTTAGCCAACTTCGTTTTGGCCTCGCTACGGGTTTTCCGCATGATTTCGAAATTCAATGTTTTAAAATAAACTCAATTGTTTCACAGACAAAGCACACCCACACCCACACCCACACACAGTCCTCGAGACAAAGCGCGTGCACAAATATTTACATTCAAATAGAGACCTAATAATGAATAGTATATCAAACAGTTAATATTCCAAAATAGATAATACTCATGACGTTTTGGGTATTTCAGCGCTTTTTGCCCAAGTGCGACAGAACAAACATATAAAAGGGAAGAAAAATGCGAAACTCTGCGGGTCGACGAACACACACACACAGCGAAAGAGAGGGGGAGAGGAAGGGAGAGATAAAACTTAATTTCTAATTAGTTGAAAAGCCATCCGTCAAGTGGAGTAATATAATTTTGATAGCTCATCATCGAGGCTCACCCCCGCTTGGCAAAGGGCTTCACAGTTTCCCAGTTTCCCAGTTTCCAGAAGCGTCACGCGATGATAAGCACAAATCGAATTTGTGCATGAAAATTATTATGATTATCTATACACATACACACACACATATATATGTATATGTGCTCAGTACGCATTATGCTGGTCAATCGGCAGCGGGGGCCGCGCGCTATTCGAGCTAGTTCAAGTCCAAGTCCAAGTCCAAGTGCGAGTCGAAGCCGAGCAAATGCGGGACGATTTGGCTGATTGATAGCGCCAGAATTTTAGGAATTTTGAAATTCGAATTGAGTTTTTATCATTTGCCAGCCCTTCAAAGTCAGCGCCCTTCGATTTACATATCTCTAGGCTCTGGTCTGGCGTCACAATTACAATAATTCCCATACATTTATTTTACACTGCTGATAATCCAGCAACTATATGAATTTGTCTTTGTTATTTATTTTTTTTTTGCTTGAAACTCGACAAGTGTTGGGATAAATATTAACAACAACAACAGCAACAACGACAACTAACCGACAAACCGCAGAAGTCATAAAAAAAAATTGATTTCGGTTGTGTTGGCGACAAAACAAATACAAAAATTCATATTTAGCTGAGAACAGATTTTTTTCGCTGTTGTCGTTTCTTATTTAATATGAAAACACATTAAACAAATATGTTGCAGTCGATAAACATTTTTTGTTATAATTTTGTGTCGTGCTGTAAATTTATATGAATATAAATATAAATATATATATACATATATATATATATATATATATATTTTTTTTTTGACACAAATTAAAACAACAGCAAAACTAACCACAAGCACAGACACACACACAGTTATAAAGACCTTTAATAAAATGCCTAAATTATTTGAGTTTCTGTTTCAAAGCTTCAATGAAACTATCAAAAAATAGGCAACGATTTATAATATATATAAATATATATATATATATCGTATAAGTATTAAATGGTTGATAAAAAAATGTATTTCTTTGTCTTTTATATTTTTGATAAACAAACTTTGGTATGCTCCACATAAATTATTATTCAAATGTTTTTTCCCGCTGTTTGTTTGGTGATAAAGAAAAAAAAACCTAAAATTAAAAAAGCAAGAAAAACAACAATAATCTAAAAGCCGAACGTGTCATTTCTTTTTCACTTAATTATATACTGTACATACATATATATATATATATATCTATGGCACATATAGATATGCTCTATATATATGCATATAGTTGCTAAATCAAAACGGAAGTGTTTCGTGTTTTATTGTTTGTGGTTTTTGGCACTTTGTTGAGCTGCTAATATGCTGGCAATTTTTATCGCACAATATTATATTATATATATATATATATACTTTCGTTTCTATTTCCCTTTTTTTTATTAAAATATTTTCGATGTTGTTTGTGGCATGTTTAACCCATGGTTGGCCCGCTGCTATTTTTACGCGCTCTTCATGCACTTTGTCTATAAAAATGCACTTCTGCGAAAAAATAAACACGCGCCGCGCCAACACAAACAAACAAGCAAATGCAGCGCGAGAGCGGGAGAGCGGGAGAGCAGTGCAGGCCGTAGTGGAAGATAGACCAGAGACCAGACCAGATCGGAGCCAACAAGACACAGGCTAACAACAAACAACTGTTGCAATTCCATTTAACATAATTTTTGCACAACTGTCGATCATATATGCCCACTGCCATGAGCTCGCCGTGGGGTCGCATGATTCCTATAGGCGGCATGACACTGAAGAGCCCTGAAGTAACCATCAAATTTATAGCTAGTTGTCGCCTCTTTGGGCTTGCCGCCTCCTTGGGCTTGCCGCAGAAGTGAAGAGCTTTCAACAAATGCTCGTTGCAGGGCATCTCTTAGTCCGACACTTCCGGCTTCTACAGTTTTACTATGTTTTTGTTTTCTATTTTCTGGTTTTTTTTTTCTTTTTTCGGTATATTTTTTTTGTGTGTGGCTGCCCGTGGCGTGGTGGCGGCGTCTAAAAAATATTGTCGCATATTTATGAACATGTGTAACAGATAAATCTGAATCTGAATCTTTGGGCGCACACGTAAGTGATTTAGTTGTCAGGCGAGTGCATTTATTACAGCTGCGCCAGCCAGGGCTCTGGTCTCTGGAGCCATGCCCATGGGTGTTAGCACAGTGCGTGTGCGCGCCGCCAGGGGGCGCTAGTAATCAAACTAATGAGCTGCACAGAAAGTCGGCGAAAATAGCATTTAATGGATTTCAAATAAAACGAAAAGAAAACATAAGCAAAAGCCCAGCTATAAGTGGCAGGTAAACAAATGCGAGACAGAGCGCGAGTGTGGGGCTAAAAGATTGTGTCTGCCGTCTGCCAACTGAAGTGATAACACATTAAAGAAATGCATCGAGGGGCGATTGCGGTTGGCGTCCTGCTCGCTATTGCAGCGACACCTAGGGGTTGCTAATGGCAGTTAGCGAAAGCTGCAAAAGATGTCCTCGATGGCTGCCAAGATGCTGAGCTGCACTTAATGGCAAATGATAATGATTGATGCTTAAATGCAACCAGCAGCCCCTAACACACCTTGCAACACTTGCAGCGCGCTTTCGGGGCTTGGGGCATGGATGCTGGCAATAAGCAATCATTCAATGTGGCCACAATGCGTCTTGCATTAAAGAAATTGAAAGGAATTAGGGATAGGGGCTGCGAGTGGAAGCAGCGGGAGAAATGAAGCGGAAGAGACGATGAATGATGGGATTGAGAGAGAAGGTAAGAGAAGGAAGGGGACAGCAAGTGGGAGCGAGAGATGCTGGAATAGCGGTATATATATAGAGGGAGAGAGATCTATATAGAGAGAGAGATCTATATAGAGAGATGAGAAGAAAGAAATAAAAAGATAGAGAGAGGGACAGTGAGAGAGAGAGATAGAGTGATATATGGAATGAGAGAGAGCGAGTTAGAGTGATTAAGAGGGAGCGAGCTCGAGAGAAAGAGATAGACAGCCCGACAGATTGATTGCCATACAAAGCCACAGGTCTGCGAAAGGAGTTAAATTTTCGATCTCCCCTCTGGGCAGCATATCCTTAAACATTATCAGTATACAACTGGCAAGCGAACCGCATTCCAGATTGGCATAAGTAAACACCAGAAACACGGAAGACACATAAAGCTAACAAGACAGTTGAGAGCCACTCGAGAGCTGAAACCTGATGCTATGAACGCCACACTTCAATGGGCCGTATCAGCGTGGGCTGGCTGCAAGGACAGCGCGAAAGGCAAATGTAAACAAAGGGCAGACAACAGCAAATTGTAGGCGTTAAAATTGTCATGTCAATATTTTAATGATATCACTTTACAGGCAGCACCCAGCCAGTCTATAGTCTGCAGCTCAACTCCATCCAATCAAAGTGTCTTGCGCAAAGTTTCATTTTAACTTTTTCTATGCACAAGCCAAGTTAACAAAACAAAACAAAAAAACAAAAAAAAATCAACAATTTTTTCAGCATATTTTTTTTGTTTTATTTTGGGAAATATCCTCGTGGCTTTCGAGTCAAATCCCTTGCATATTTTTGTTTTCTCTCGCTCTGCTGCCCTTTCTTGTGCCTCGTGTAAAGAAGAAGTCAAAAGTCCTTTTATTTATTTTTTTCTACTTTTTTTTTTGTTGCCTCTGCTGTTGTTGTTGTTGTAGCGCTGGGACGCTCATTTGTTTGCCTTGTATTTCCTTCTGTTTTCACTTTCCTGTTTTTTTTTTGTGTTTTTGCACTTGTGTTTGGCTAGAAAATTACAAGAAAAGTGCGCTAAACTGGCTGGGCTGGGCTGGGCTGTGCTGTGCTGTGCGGTGGGTGGGCGTGGCACTGTGGGTGTTTTGTTTACTTATGCAAGTGTTTTCTCAATTGTGCGTGCGGACAGCCAAGGGCGCAGGGTTGGCCAAAAGGGGCAGAGGGGGTTAGGTCAGTCGTGCGTCGTCGTCTGCGGTTGGAATGCTTTAGGGTTGCCATTTAACTCCTCCAGTTTTTTTTTTGTTTCTATTTTTTTTTTTTTGTATTTTTGGGCGCCTGGCAACATTTGTCTAATCTTAACGGTTTTACATTTCATTGCGCTGGGCAATTGGCGCGCCTTGTGGAGTGGCCGCAGACAGTTTATTAAATTAACTTAAGGAATGTGCTTAAAGAACTTACCTCTTTGTCTTTGGCAGCTAACAGTACAGCGGGCTGGTTGTTGTTGTTGTTGTTATTGTTGTTGTTGCTGGCGTTGCGCTTTTTGCGCTTCTCATTGCTGCTGCTGTTGTTGTTGTTGTTGGTGTTAGTATTGTTGTTGGTGCAATCGTCATCCTCGGCGCTATGTGCCACATGTTGCTCATTTACATTATTATCACGCAGTGCAACATGTTGCGTTTCACTGTTGTTGTTCTTGTTGTTGTTGTTGTTCTTCCGACTACAGCTATTGTTGCTATCAGCATTGTTGTTGTTGTTGTTCACGTTTAAACTAGCTTCTAGCTCGTCCTGCCGTCCATCAGCAGCCACAACGGCATCGACATTGCGATCATCGCCCTCATCATCATCGTCATCATCATCATCATCATTATCATCGCGTTGATCATTGTTGGCTGTGCTTGCGTTCGCGTTCGCATCGACAACATTTTCAGTTCTGGCCAATGTTGGCTCTACGGCAGCAATGCTGCCCGTATCAGCAACATGCTCCGGCTCCAGCTCCATATCATCATCGTCTAAATCGCCATCGGCATGCGCCACATTCGATTGCATCGACGCGTCCTCCTCGTCGTCGTCCTCATCGTCGTCGTTGCAATTGCTGCTGGCTATTGGCTCAGCAATATCCCTTGCCGATTGCTGTTGTGTGGCTGCTGCTGCTGTTGCGGCTGCTGCTGCTGCTGCTGCTGCTGTTGTTGTTGTGCTTATTGCGGTGGCCGCGATTGGCGAATGCATTGGCGATTGCTGCTGTTGCTGCTGCTGGGCTGCCGCTGCTGCTGCCCGGGCCGCCGCTGCAGCAGCCGCTGCCGCTTCCATCATCATTTGTTGGGCGTGATTGAAGAAGAGCTTGGGATTCAAGCAAGCGCCGCCGACGCCGACGCCGTTTTGCAGGCTGCTCTGCAACTGTTGCTGCTGCTCGGCGCTGAGCAACGGCGGCGATGGCGACGGTGTATTTGTGTTGGCCAGCAGATTGCCGCCGTTCTGTTGCAGCGTTATGGCCGCTGCAACAATCGAGCTATTCAGCAGCTTGTCGCTCTCGCTCTCGCTATTGCCAGTGGCTTCCTCTTCGCCGCTGGCCAATGATGTTGCTGCTGCTGCTGTTGCTGCTGCTGCTGCTGTTGCTGCTGCTGCTGCTAGTGCTGACTCGGATGTGTTGTTGTTGTCGCTGTTACTGTCGCTGTTGCTGCCGGGCGTGCCTGTGGATAGTTGCTCCTTGAGTGTGTTCACTTCCTTCTCGGCTAATGTAGCGCGCTGCAAGTAGACAGAGAGAGGGAGAGAGAGAGAAGAGAGACGTGAGTGAGTGAGTGTTTGTGTGTGTGAGCTTAGTCTGCCCCATCAAGTTGTTTAGCCGCATATGTTTGTCGTGGCCAAAAGGCAACTATCGACCCTCATTAATTTTACTTTTAAAGTCATTACGGGTTAAATTTAGCCAAATTAATACGTTGCAAAACTTTTGCCCAGCCGACAAAAAAGGCTCAAAAAAGCCGAGTCGACTAGCTGGGCCCTCTGCAACACCAGCAGCAGCAGCAGCAGCAGCAACAAACAGCCGACAAATTTATAGTTTATCGTTGGTATCGATAAGCCAACTTGGAATTTTAGTGCTATTAGCGTTGACCTTCGCCAAAAGGGGGAAGCCAGACGACGGCGACGGCGACGGCGACGACGGCGACGACGACGACTTGCTTGAAATCAAATGCCAAATGAGAAATTAAAACAACAACAGCAGCAACAGCAGAGGCAGCAGCAGCAGCGACAAAAAAAAAGGTTACAAAAATATGCGGTGCAAACTTTTTTGGCAAATTAGTCTGGGCCCAGGACCTAGAGCCAGCCCCATAGCCACAACCCGAGCCAGCGCCAGAGCCAGAGCCGTAGTCGTAGCCGTAGCCGAGGCCAGCACCAAAACTCACACCGCATCGGAATCGTAGCCCATAGCTTAGTCAGGTCCGGTGCAGTGTCCTCTCCTTGGCGCTGCGACTACGACTTTTGCTCCGACTTTAGATGGCAATGACTTTTGGGGCACTTCGGCTTCGATTTTCTGTTGATTTGTACTTGTTTTGGTTTTTGAGTTTTGTGCAATTTTATTTGTATAAATACCGGAAGCCAATGAGCGGGTATGAGGTAACAGCCGGCAGGGCGTTGCAGGCAATAAAGAACTTTGGAAATTAGTCGATGGGCATATCGTTTCTCTACTGCCAAAAAGGGACGCTTCGCTGTAAGCCTTGGCAGTTCTTATAGCAGTTTTTGCCTCAAATCGATGAGGAGACGACGCTGGCTAGCCCCTGCCTCTTCAAAACTTAAGCAGGAAGTCGTTATAAGGGTCGGGTTAAGACTGAATTGCAATGCAGTTGCCGTGGACTGGTGAAATGTAAGCGATTAGGAAAAGTCCTTTTGGACTAGAACAACTTTTGTGCTAGGGTCAGGACGACGATAAGGGACTAGCTCAATTGCAGGAGATAATGTTGCGGTTGAGCTGTTGAGCAAATTTCGATTGGATTGAAGTAGCAACAACTGCCCAAGAGTAGCACCTTTCGAGTGATGACAATTGAAGAAAGTCAAACTCAAGCGAGTCCAGCTCAAGCCGCTGAGATAGAGGCTCTTCCAAAACACAATCAGGTAGAGACTAAGCAGCTAACACGAAGAGGTCAAAGGGCTTTAAGGTCATGCTGCCTTGCCACGTTGCTTGATCCATTCAGTTGTATTCAATTATTTACAACTTTGGCTAATTCCAACTAGGTAAAATCTAGGTTGCTGCCATAGCCTTGAAGAGCTAGAAACTTGGCAGATTTTGTATTGGTTTAAAATGCAGCTAAATGACAAGAGACTGCCTCGTCGAGCCGCAGGAATTTGCTGTCTTTATTTATTTATTGTTGTTGCTGCTGTTGCCGTTGTTGCCGTTGTTGCTGTGTTTATCTTTTTTCTTGTAGATGAATGGCCCTCGAGGCATATTTGTCAACATCATCAGCAAACGAAGCGAACCCGAACCCAAACCAAAAACCAAACCCGCAGCCAAATGTAACGTTAGCAAGAGCCGCAGGCCCCAACAGGAGGGGGCGTGGCCGGGCGCAGTCTCGGTCTCGAGCTCGACTCGTCGCATAGATATATATTTATGATATTTAAAAGCTCTTAAGTACAAACAACAGACAAGCGACAGGGTTGGAGGGGGGGCAGGGACTTCGCCGTTGGACGCACAGAGGAGAGGAGGAAGCTGCAGTTTTGTCCTTGCCGAGGACTTAAAATGCCAGACAGCCTTCAAAAGCGCGCTGGCTCTTGGAGCTGGGCAACGGATGGGGCACTGATTTTCATGCTGACTGTGTGGCACGTTGTTGTTGCCGCCGCTGAGCTGCTTAAGCTTGAAAATTGTTTTCATAATGCCAGGCGGTCGATGCTTGCCACAGCAAAAGAAAAAAATGTTGTTTCTTTACTCTCTCTCTCTCTGCCTCTCTGACTTTTTGCCGCGAAAATCAATCAGTGGCTGCCCAACTGTGCGCCGCCAAAACTGTGCCCAGGTTTTTGCTGTCTTGGCGCGCTTTGAAATGCAATCCCCGTGAGAAAGGCGACACTTGTTGTTCGGCTGGCCAGCAAAAACTAGCTGTCCGAATCCTCAGAGCAAATCAATTAATGCGGCGCAGGAGTCGTCGGAGTTGGAGTTGCAGTTGGAGTTGATGGAGCCACTGTGTGTGCTCAGCCTTTGTGGCCCAGTTCGAGCGGCTTAGCAAGCAGTTGCCAACCAAATGAGTTAATTAACTAAAATGCGGGTGGCTTTGCTCGTGTTTTACTTATATATATATATATATATATATATATATATCTTCTTTTTTTTGGGTTTTTCACACACACACACACACGCACACACCCCCACACAGAGCGAAGTTGTAAAGTTCTATGGGCACACTTCAAATGCTTTCCACCTCTGTTCCGCTCTCCTTCCGTGTCCAGTCCGTGTGTGTGGTCAGCTTATGGCAAAAAAGGCTTTCGTATTGAGCACCCTTTTAGCGTTTTTTTTTTTTTTTGGGTTCGTTTTTTGACGGGCTGCACAGCGAGTTTCATTTAATATTTTTGCATGTGCCGGCGCAGCCACTTCAAAGGAGCACCCGAAAATAGCTCGTGTCTAGGGGTAAAAAAGGCAGCCAAAAATAAAAACGCAATGCGCGCCAAAAATGTTAAGTGAAATGTTAACAGCATCGCACATTGGCCCCGCTGTTAACATTTCTATTAGCCAAAAGCGACCCGTTTAAGGAAGGGCACACCATTTGCTTAAATGGAAAAGTTATTAAAGCTAACTGCTGCTCATGAAAAGAGTCGAATCTGGAGCTTGAGCTGATAACAACTGCAGGAATTCTGCTGTAGCTGCTTATTGAACTCGCTTTGTGCCTTCAATAATTGTGGACTGCTCAAAGGTTCTCTCAAGGATCAGCCGCTGGGCAATTGAGCTCTTGTTGCTTATTTTCTTATGCAGCAATTGTTGCAACTATCGCACACACACATACAGAAGCACTTCAGTGCTTCAGCAAGTCAAATACCACTCGCCAGCAACGACCCGAGCAGCGCGCTTGCAACCACGCGCTCAATGGCCTTCTGTGTGTGAGTCGTGCGCGCGGCACATGTCAAAAAGCGCGCACTTTTCCACACAGAAACAGATTCCAGCCCAGGGGCGTATGTGTGTGTGTGTGCGTGTATTATAATGCATAAATACTCGTACTCCTTTGGCAGTCGTGAAGAATTTTTGCATGCGGCATTGTCTCAAGCTGTTTTCTGAAGTGAGTCGAACGGTCGACGTTTTTTTTTTATTTTTTGTCGCATGGCAGCTGTCAGAGCAGGAGCAGGAGCAGAGAGAGGGTCAGCAGTTGAGCCAGAGAGAGTGGGTGAGAGGCAGCACTTTTTGTAATTAGTACGAAAGCAACGTTATGAATTGTGCTTGAAGCTCAGCTCGAGTGCAAGTTGTTGTGGCTGCTGTTGTTGTAGGCAGCCGCAACCCCTCGACAGCAGCAGCAACAGCAGCAAAGGCAACAGCAGCAATATCTGAGCCGGGTCTGGGAAACGTCGCTGCATTGTTTGGCAGCACAATAAATCAAAGCAAATCAATGCGACGTCCGCTGATGCATGAGTGGGAGGCCGAGCAAAGGCAGCAGAGTGAGAGAGAGAGAGAGATAGAGTGCGGTAGAGGAGTATTTGGTTGGGTACTTTGATTTAGGGGCGGCTGTCAGTTGTTGTCTTGACATTTTCAGTGGCGCGGGTAGGTAAAATGCAAAAAAAAAAAAAACCTCAGAGGCAGCCGCTGCCGCTGCCGCTGCCACTTAAACGCCTACATGACATGACAAGCAGCGCAGGGGCAGGGGCAATGGCAGAGGCTGCTACGGCTGCTGCTTAGCTACATAAGAAAAATGAAGCCAAAGCGTTTTCACAATTACACACACATTAAACAGCAGGCAGCTAGAAAAAAAGCTTCTAAAAAGTTAAAAAGTTGTGAGCGCAGGTGGGCGAGAGGCAAGCGGCGAAGGGGTTAAATGTGCCAGTCTATCTATGTGTGTGTGTGTGTGTGTGTGTGGCTGCGTGTGTCTATATCAATTGAAAGAAGCAGCAGAGCAAAAACTCACATATAAAAAGTGTAGCATGACATTAGGCGCAGACAAAGACGCTGCGCGTATGTCTTGACAGCTGTAAATGCAGACGACAGAGATAGGCAGAGGGAGAGGGAGAGCAAAGAAATGATATGTATACATATATACACTCTATACATATATATATATACATATATATACATACATATATATATATATATATGTGTGCGTGTGTGTGTTGCTGTTGCTGTTGTATATAAGCCTGTCAATGTGCCAAGTGGTTTGTGGCCTGCGGCAGTACGCATTTGAATAAATGCATAGAATAAGCTTGCAAAAAAGGCAGAGAAGCAGAAAGAGTCTCCTCCACAGCTGCAGCACATGCAGAAGCTACACAAAAGCAGCATAAAGCACAAGCGTCTGTTTAGCAAACAATCTGTAGAGATGCACATTCACGCTGCCATCAAGCAATCAGAAAAGTCAGCATAAATATTTGCCAAGCTCTTGGAAGTGTATCGATAGGCAGTGATCGATAGCAGTTCACAATCAATGCTGTAACTCACTGCTGTTATTATCGATTATTTTAATTAGCTAATCACACTTTAAGCCAGCATTTGCTTCTTTTGGCAACTCATCCCCTTAGCTGCTTAGCCTTTGATATGCTTTGCTATCCATTAACTTTATGTTATATGCTGC